TTGAAAAAACTAAATCAAATTCGATCCGAATCAAACATTATTACCCCTTTTGTGGGCTATCACTACTAAGCGCATTGCGTCAGAGATCCATTTGGATTTTAACTGGCCAATCGACACAGAAAAAAGTGACAACCGACCTCCCATTGGAGGTTCAATTGTATCCAAATGTGGCTTAAGTTTATTTATCTTAATAATAAATTGTCTTAAGTTTGAGCTTTACAAATTACTTAATGTAATTTTTTAATAAGAGTAATAACTGATTGGATTGGATTTAATTCGATTATTTTAGTTAATATATAATATTTTGAATTTTAAAAAAATCAATTAAAATTAAAATTAAATTAAATTCTATCGATTCGATTCATCAATTCTAGAAAATTATTTTTTAATTTTTGATATATTTAAATAGATTTAAATATAAAATAATTATTTATACAAATTTAAAATTTGTATAAAAATTAATAAAAAAATATAATTTAGTTTAACTAGGATATTTTCAATTTTTTCACTTTATGATCCAAAAATCAATCTAAATTGAATTAAAATATTTACTATATGATTACTAAATCAAATAATAGAAAAGTTTATCCAAATCAGACCGAACTCTATAATTTTGAATTAATTTTTGATTTTTTCTTCAATCCTATTCAAGAATATACTATCTTTGTGGGATTCACACACCCTTGACATAATGAAGTAAACAAAAATCATTAATTAGGTATTATTAATTTAACTTCAATTTTTATTTTAATTAGCGAGGCTACTTAAGCTAAACATATGATCTAATCTCACATCGAACAGCATCATAGATGATGAGTAATTAGAAGTTAACTCCAAATTTAAATGAATTTAAAAATTTTGCCTAAACCTATTTAACAAGCTTTAATTTTTTATTCAAACTCTCTCAAAACTTTAAGCAAGCCTTCAAATCCAAACAAATAACCTAGCCCTTGAATAAATCTAGTTGCAATCAGTCACTAAAACAAAAAGATTCGGTGGGCGATTGCCATTGACCACATGTCTAAAATCTATTCAAATCTTAACTAATCGATTGGCATCGAAAAAGACGTAGACACCCTATTTAGTTCAGGCCTGAATCAATTGGGCCTGGCTCATTAAGATCCAACTATTAAGCCCAATTTGTTCATTATTTGGTTTTACATTTCATTTATTTATTTATTTTCTTTTGATTTTATCTTTGGTTAATCATTCATTTATTTGTTTTGTTTTTTATTTTTGATTTTTGATTTTTGATTTGGTTTTATCTTCGATTTTTTTGTGATAAGATAACAACAAATAGAAAAAAAAAAAGGAAAAATAAAATTAATAAAGGATTTTTTCAATGGATTAGTGTTTGTAGATTTGTAGATGGATTAGAATTGATAAAGATAAATTTTGTATGCTGTGATCTAGTTAAAAGGAGTTGTGGTTAATTAGAAATTCTTCTACTTACTTCATATAAATTCACATTGATCAAGCAGAACAAAAACACAAGCAACAAACACAGGCAGAAACACAAACGTAGATTGAAAGGTAAAAAAAAAAGCACACAAAAGTAGCCAAAAATTTTTAGGGGAATTTTTAAGAAAATTTAGTTTTTTTTTTTTTTTTTGGAAATTTCTGGAAAATTTTCAAATTTCAATGAAATTTTTCAACAAAACTTGCATTTTTTGGTGACGTTTTCCAAATTTTGGTAGCTTTTTCTTGTTTTTGGTGAAGCATTCAACTGGAATCCTAGGTTTCTAGAGAAAGGGAGAGAAAAAGAAAGAGAGAGGGGAAAGGAAATCTGAAGAAAAATAAATTTTGGCTTTTATAGCTAATTAAAACGGCACCGTTTTGAGGGTTAAAAAGCTTAGGATTTGCATGTTTCTATTTGGACCAACTCAACCCAAGCATAACTTGCTTCGTCGACCTACGTCCTAACCAAACCCTTCAATCGAGCCAAGTCGTTGAGTAGCATCGAGTCATTCCAGTCGAGCCGTTTTCATTTTTTTTGTATTTTTGTATTTTTTATTTGGTTATTTATTTATGTGTTTGATTATTTTTAGAGGTATTTTTGCATGATTAAAAATAATAAAAAAGTAAAATATGTTTTTGAGAATAAATAATAATTATCAAATGATAAAATTTTTAGAAATTTCAAATGATAAATTTTTATAAAATTTCTAGGTGAGAAATTTTCTCTAAATTTATCCCAATTGGTGAAATAATTTAGAAAAAATTTCAATAATAATAATTAATATTTATTTTCAAATAAAAAAAGAGAAACAACTAAAAACTAAAAAAAAATAAAAATTAATAAAAATTTTGGGATTAAATACTAACTACCTAAGGATTGGACTCTTAAAAATTTCAAATGATAAATTTTTAAGAATTCTTTAAGTAAGAAATTTCTCTAAATTTGTCTCAAATTGTGAAATAATTTAAATGAAATTTCAACAAAAGTAATTGTATTCTTTTTCAAATAAAAAAAATTTTGATTGAAAATATTTGACAATTATCCAACAATGAGAATCTTAGAAATTTCAAATGATAAATTCTTAAGAAATATCAAGGTAAAGAATTTCTTTAAATTTGTCCTAAATGATAAAAGAGTTTAAATGAAATTTTAAGAAAATAATTATCATGTTATTTTCTTTCCAAAGATTCAAAAACAAAAAATTAAAAAAAAAATTCTAAATAGGCCCAAATGGTGAAAAATTAGAAATTAGAAAAAAGAGAATATATTTCTAATTTGACCCAAATGATAAAATTATTAAATATATTTTTAATAAAAATATTAAATCTTTTTTTGATGATGCAGCCTCTTCAAGAAAACAAATGTGATTCTCAAATACTCTTAAGATGAAAAAATATTTTTAAAAATTCTACTAAATTAATGAAGAATCTTAAGAATTATTTTTAATATTTAAACATTAAAACTATTAGAATCAAAACATTATGATAAATTTAAAATAAAATAGTATCATCCTTCGAATGGGCATGTGAATGTGCTATAACCTTCTCCAAATGTAATCAAACTCCCGAATCTTATTCTAATTAGTAGACCAGAACTTATTTTTTTAAGGATCTTTAGTCCTGCTTAGGAGTTTCTTAAAAAGATAAATTTATTAGGTGACAAATCACACATAAAAAAAAAAAATTGATGGTGACTCCTCTTATTAAGTCTAGTAATAGATTTACAAATTTATATGCTATGACAAAAGATGGCAATCGACCTCTCATTAATGGTCCGATTGCATCCAAATGCAACTTAAGTTAATCTTAATAAAAAATAATTTTAAGTTTGAGCCTTACAAATGATTTAATACTACTTTCAAATAGCAGTAATATTAGATCAAATTGAATTCAATTCGATTTTTTTAATTAATACATAGTATTTTAAATTTTAAAAAAAAATCAATTTGAATTTAAATTGGACTTCCTTTGAAACTTAATTTAAATATACAAATTAAGTTTTATCAATTCAGTTCATTGATTCTTAAAAATTATTTTTTGAATTTTGAATATATTTAAATGAATTTAAATATAAAATAATTAATTTTATTTTTATAAATTTAAAATTTATATAAAAATTAATAAAAATATAATTTAGTTCGATTATTTTTTCAATTTATAACTAAAAAATCAATCCAAATTAAATTAAAATATTTAATATTCAATACCAAATAAAAAAAAATCAATTCAAATCTAACCGAACACTAAAATTTCAAATCAAGTTTCAATTTTTTTTCCTCAATTCTACTCTCAAATATAGTATCTTTGTGGGGTTCACACATCTTACCCTTGACATATTGAAGTAAACAAAAATCATTAATTGGATCTTCCTAATTTAGCTTCAATTTTTATTGTAATTAGTGACGCTGCTTAAGCTAAACATATTATCTAATCTCACCTCAAACATCATCATAAATAGATGATGAGTAATTAGAAGTTAAAGTGCAAGACAAACAAAAAGCGAATCAGCAACCAATTGTCGCCCACTACTGGCAACAACCATAACGAAAAGTGTTCATGAAATTAACCAGGATATATTTTACTCAATTTTCTCTTTAATCTATTTTTCTTTCTCTTGACTAGGTGCCAACCTTGAGGTCACAAACATCTTTGCCTACCCATTAATTCCAACTTTTTTTTCCTAATTCTTAGAGTTCATGTTGATTTTCAATTTTTTTTTTAACTATAATTTCTCCCTATACCTTCCTTATCCATAAAACAAAGCTCCATCGATGATTTAACCTTGCAAAATATATACATCCTTTTTACTAAATTTAACAATTTATATATTTTTATTTATTAATTTTATATTAAATAATATAAAATTGTTATATCATAATTCGAATTAATATATTAAACACAACATATTTTTTTTTATTAAACTCATATATAAATTTTATTAAAATTTTAAATCATATCATTTTTATATTTTTTTTTTATTTTTATATTATACGTTATATCGTATTTAAAATTACCAAATTCAGCTTTTATCAACATCCATGTTTTATAACTCAATAAAGCTTCCACAGCCATTGTAAAACAGTAATAGTCAACCAACTGATTAGATTTAGCAGACACTTAATCTGTATTATCAGTGTCTGCCTGTGATTAAGACCATAAATTCAGTATTGGTCACTGCAGATCAGCGTGAAAGGAATCCTCTGGATGCTGTGCTTTGATGGTCCCACCACAAAAATGAAGGTTCCTTCATTCAGTAGTGGTGGGTCAAACTTGCTTAACTGATTAATGTTGTGACAAAACTTAGCTATCAAAATTAAGTTAAAATAGTTTATCCGAAACTTAATTTCAGTTAATTCATGTAATTATCATTAAATTTGATATTAAAAAGATTGTAAATTCAAACTTCAAAGTCTACAATCTTTTTCTTTTTTTAATTTCAGACTAGGACCTTTATATAAAAACAAAAATTAAATAAAATTAGTTGCATTATTATCTCAAATGATGCATCCAACAATCCTTTATAGGAAACATCTAATTTATTCATGTTCCCTGTAAAGGAGAGCCAGATAATACAATATTTAAATGGATGTCTTATGGCTGTCTATAATCAAATTCCCATCTTTCACCAAGATATTAGAATAGTAAAAACAGTGCAATTTCTTGCTTCGATGGTCACTTTTCTGGCCAACGACACTTCTTTTTCTCAAACTAATCTGGGTAGTCATTACCATACAAATTTTCTGCTCTATATATTTTACTCACTCCACTTTGTTCCCGCATATGCTCTCCATCCTATATTTCTTTTATAAGAAATATGTCAGACCATCAATTTTGTTATTATGATTCTCAATCTCAGTCTAACCGCTTTCAATCAGATTCCAAATCTCTATGGTCTCAGCCAAGCCTCCCATCAGTTCCATCCCTCACCTCCCAAGTTCACCTGCAACAGCCCAATTTTTCCAACATCCAGCACCAGTGCCTCACCACTCTAAAAGGCCACACCTCCTATATCTCTTCTCTCACCTTCGCCGGGAAGTTCCTTTATACAGGCTCTTCTGATAAGGAAATCAGATTATGGAAACGCAACGCTCTGAACTCGGAATTTGAACATGAAAATCAAACCAATAACATACTAGCTGTGGGAAAGGGTGCTGTGAAGTCCATGGTAGTATTAGCTGATAAACTCTTCAGTGCTCATCAAGATCACAAGATACGAGTATGGAGAGTTAATAACGATGATCCGGATAACCAAAAGTACTCTCGATTGGCGACCTTGCCGACGTTAAGTGACCGAGCAATGAAGCTTCTCCTCCACAAGAACCACGTCGAAATTCGAAGACACAAGACATGCACCTGGGTCCATCATGTTGATACAGTATCTGCACTGGCCTTATCCAGTGATGAGACCCTTCTATATTCCGTTTCCTGGGACAGGACACTCAAAATCTGGAGAACCAGTGATTTCAAATGCTTGGAGTCAGTAACAAATGCTCATGACGATGCAATAAACGCAGTGGCAATATCAAGTGATGGAGATGTTTATACGGGATCAACAGACAAGAAAATCAAGGTGTGGAGGAAAAACTCAGGAGAGAAAAACCATTCTCTAGTTGCTACACTAGAGAAACATAAGTCAGGGATCAACGCCTTAGCAATCAGTCTTGACGGGTCTACTTTGTATTCCGGCGCAAGCGACCGGTCCATAGTGGTCTGGGAGAAGGAGGGAAGCGATGGAATGACAGTGGTTGGGGCACTTAGAGGGCATACAAAGTCCATATTATGCTTGGCTGTTGTGTCGGATTTGGTTTGCAGTGGTTCAGCGGACAAAACAATTAGAATCTGGAGGCCAGGGGTCGATGGAAATTATTCATGTTTGGCAGTCTTGGAAGGGCATAAAGGCCCTGTCAAGTGCTTAGCCGGAGCAGTTGATCGTCACAAACCTTCTGATACATCCTATGTTGTTTATAGCGGAAGCTTGGACTGTGACATCAAGGTGTGGCAGATTGTTGTTCCTCTTCTCTAGAAACGACTTGGTTTTACTTACTTTTCTTCTTCTTCTCCAATAGCCATTTTTGTGAATAGAAAGTAGAGTGTCGTAATTGGTAGAGTATATTTCTTTTCTGAATTCATTTCCGTGGCTAAAGTTGCAGTAGAATCACTGGACTGAGCTAAAGATGCGCCATATTTTGGCTTCTTTTAATGGGTAGTCATGAGATTTCCGATTTCTCAACAAACAAACCACTTGCAACCATCGACTTCATAACAGGGAAACAAGTCAAAGGAACAAAAAGCCAACAGCTACAGTTCGTTCAGTTGTCAAGAATCTGGCCTGTTGCTTACTGCTAGAAGCTGTTTCACGTTTTCTCTCCCCAGGAAATTTCTTATAAATAATTATTATTAAGTAGTTTCTAATATTCAAACATGGAAACTTCTGTTCTTTTGTTTACTTCACTTTCCAACTATCTATCTGTACAATTGATAATTGCATTCCCTACTTTGAGTGACTAAATAATGTTAAGGCAAATTTTGGTTGGATTGTGGGATTCAAGGAGACATTGAGCATTGCGAGAAAAGTAATGTTAATGATGCTCAAGTCCATGCTTTCTATTCCTCCACGTAAAAAATAAAATAAAATAAAATAAAACACACTAATTGAAGTTTTTAACTCTAAAAGCGGAGTTAACAGTTATACATACCTATTTAGGGTATATTTAAGAAAATAAAAAAATTAATTAAAAAGAAAAATATAACATACGTCATTTTATTAATCTTGTTTGTAAAATTAAAAATCTTTACTGATAATATATTAAATAATTTTTCAAAACACCCAGCATTATTTTAAGTTGGATTAAGGGGACTTTAGAAATTTATAATACAAATTCCTTTTTTATTTAATACCACAGTGATGTGAGGAATGGTACTATCGATTAGGATCGATCTTCATTGGAGGAAAAAAAGTTGTATGCACATGATCGATTGATTATGGAAATAAAGTAATTTTAAACATAAAACTTAAATAGACAGTTCACCCACCTGAGTGATGGATTTTCAAAAAATATTTAATTCTAATTCCAGCTCCTGCAACTCTTCCCCAATCTTTAAAGTATATATATCTATATATATAAGTGTAATTTGCTTAAGGAGAGCAGAGATTTCTCAAGTCCCATAATAAAGTAAAATGTTTCTAACAACTTAATCTGAGTATGGCCTTCAAACTTTAAACCCAAACCCAAAAAAAAGAAAAAGAAAATTTGTAAGGGAGAGGGAGAGACTTCAATTGAAAGTATTCTTCTCCAGAATAACATCACACAAAAGGAAAAGCAGTTAAGAAAAATGATTAAGCAAAGGAATAGATTAGTGAAACAAATGTCACAATCCATCACTAGTCTTTGAACCAAAATATTAGAGTAACTAACAAAAGAAAGAGAAAGGAGGTGTTCTAAAGCCTAATGCTTCGTTTTGGAAACATGAAATTGGGAGATTGAATTTAATTTTGGTATGTTAAATGATTTACGAGGATGAACGTAAATGCTTATCGTGTAAAGATTCAAAGTAACTATGAATTTAAGGGAGCATAAGATAACAAATTTAGTATTCCTTTCCTCGTTTAGGTATAGATTTCGATGACTGGTGAGAGTCCTACCACCGCATCGAAATATGTATTTTATGATTAGATTAGAATTTGCATTTTATTACTGAACTCTCCCACTACGCATCCAAATCAAGCCTAAATCTTTAACAAATCAAAAGTTTATGGATAATCATGAAAGTCATGTTGTCATTAATTCTACTACCATATAATTTATACCAAATTATTCTTCCTTCAATTTCACATTCAAGATCCAAAATTTGACCTTAATATATATTGTTGTTACTTTATGTTTGGTACAGAAAGAAGCAAACCATCATTAAAGATAAAGAAAAGCAGATTTACCTCAAACATAGAAAAACTGTAAAAAAATTCAAAACTCAAATCAGATATTTAATCTTTTCCTAACATGTGAGTGCAAGTGGCACCATGACATCATAGAGATCTACCTTAATATCTTCAACTTAAAATGCAAAGATACAAGTTTCAATGGTATGACCTACTTTACTAATTACAAGTGGCTGAGAAATTAGGTAACTGTCACTATTCTCATCCCACCATTATTGTGTAAAGATCGATATATATCTATATATATATATATATATATATATATATTTATGAAAATAACATTGGATCAACTCAAGCAGATAAACAGCTATACTAATCGTCCAATGCTTCTTTCATAAGTACTCAAATAAAATATTATTATGTACTATAATAATGTCGTTTCATGTCTAAAAAGAAACCTACTTCTCATTATTGTGGGTATCGTGTCTTCATTTCTTTGTGCCATGTCAAGTGCTTAACTGGAAAGCGAATGCTTTTCTACACTTTTTACCTAAATTAGATGAATATATGAAATCTCAGCCTACTAAAAGCAAGAAACCATCAAGATTTCCTTACTAAATCGACAAAATCAAAGACTAAAACAATCCCTTCAACATGACTTGAGTATGAACTTTGATCCTGACAAGAAAGATTAACCAAGACTCAATTAATTTGGCCCAATGGTGTATCATAAACGCACACCGACACTGCCTGTCCTGCACACACTTCTCAGTGCTATCATCTATGCATTGGATTATACTCATATTCAATCATTTTACCATAACTTTCAAAAAGTACGCCACTTGGTTTGGGGATTGGAATGGCGTAGATAACAATGCGTTAACAAAATTCTTATACGGCAGACTTTATCCCCTCCAGAATTCAGTTTCATTTTTAATCCTTCTCCATAATTGGAAGACATAACTTTCAGCAAAGCAATTTCATGAAGCATAATATTCAAGAAACTCATGTCATCAATAAACTTAAAAACTTGTTTTGCAAAATCAGAATGAAACGACCGGTTTAGAATCTTGTCATCCAATCTCAAAAAAATAATCCCCAGGTATCTGAAACAACAAGCCAATATATTGAGAAAACTGAATTTGCACGTCAAGCACACTGGTCCAGTGCAAACTACAGAGGATAAAGTCTTAAGGTTGTTCTGAAACCATAACAAAGTTGTTCAATAAAAAAAAAGAAGAATTTCAGAATAAAGGTTACTCATATACATTTGGAGGTGCAGGACCCAAGCAGACAGCAGAACAGACACCCTAATTATCAGAGTGGTACTTTTGTCGGTGTACCTGGATCACGTGGATATTTTCTTGGTGTGGAGTGATTTTTTAAGCAAATGATAGCAGTTCTCTGTCCATGTAGGCTGTGCGATTCCACTACATGCAATTGGCAAAGAAACATTGAAAAGGTTAATACCACTTCAAAAAGGGAAGCACATAAAAGAATTTAGATAATGAAAGATCAGTTTCAAAGTTGAACTAAACAAATAAATGAATGAAAAGAACAAATGATTACAAAGTTAAACTAGATTTTGTTAAAAGCAATGACAAATTTAATTCTGGCAACCAGGAAAAAAGAATAGGAATCCAAATAGAAGATTTCTGTCATGAGAAAATTCAAATTTTGCAAAGAATGACCAAACCTTTAAATCCCTTCTTTCAAACGTAAGCAAAACAAGAACAAGCCTCTTATACTTCACGGAACTTTCTAGAAGAAAGGAAACCCTGGTCTTTGTGTCAAAGGAAAAGCACTAAAATCCAATATAAACAGAAATTTAGCCAACCATTTGCTGCCCAGTATTGCAGAACCATGCATGTGTGCGTGCAGACACATGCCTAGATGTGCATGTGCATATGAACACATGATCTGACTGGACGTACAGTATCATAGCCCAAATCCATTGATCCCTCTTCAAGTAAGGGCAGTCTGTATCATTTTGGTTATGAAATAATTAATCATCCCCATAATTAACTTAAATCTCATATGCTCAAACCTCCAAAAACCTTCGATACAAACAACCAAATTTTCGCATCTCCTAAAAAAAATTGACTTCTCGAAGGATGAAGTTAACTAAACACGCTCACAGGAGGTGATCACCCACAAAAATATCAATTTCTTCAAAGTCTTGGAAATGTATCTTCATCTTTTAGATAAGGAAAAGTTGACAACAAAAAGGAACGGGGCATCTCTCTTGCTCTCTATTTCATACTTTTTTGTAGAATCATTAAGCAGGCCCATTACTATACTTATCAATCAGAGGTAAAGATCTTCGCCTGCTTATAACACAATGAATGAATTTGGTCCTATGCTAAATCTAGTAAAATTGCATGATCCACATGGATTTTACATTGATAGAGAGTAATGAAGCTAGAAGTATTTAACCTACATTACTTACTACTCCAATGAGGCTTATTGCAAAACATGCAAAGCAATGATGCAATAGTTATAGGGCAATCAACAACATGATAACATTTATCTATTATGCAATACATACCACAATGATAGCTCAAAACTGAAATATGATGAACACACCTGAACAGAGTTGCAATATTGAAGCACCCATCAATTTGATTGCTCTTTCTGCATTTCTGATTTCTTGCTGTCCAAATGCACCACATGCAAAAAGTTGGTTGATAGATAACACTTTACAAGTATAAAGGAAGAATTAAACAACTAGATACTCTGTACTGCGGGTGCTTGACTATAATTAATTGAAATTTGAATATGTGAAATAACCACAGGTTAATTAAAAAAATTTCTTGCACAAAATTTTATTTCAAGTTGACTGGAGTCTGGAGAAAAGATTATCTACGAAGTTTTAGAGAAAGAACCACAAAGCCAAAACAGTGTAACTACATGAATTAACAAATAAACTGGTGTCTAAAAACAGTTCATAATGAAATTGTTAGAACTTTGAAATTGGGACCAAATCAGAAAATGTAAGAAAGTTGTTTGGGATTTCCATAAAAGCAAAACAAACCTCTTCTTTTCATAACAGCCAAAATAGTATATAAAGTAGCAGTTTAATGCTAAGAACAAATTATTCATCAGTCAAAGTCATTTCCAACGTGAAATCCATATATACATACATGAGGATCATGACCTTTTGCAGCTACAAACAACCCACCAACACGAACCAGAGGAAGGCAGTATTCAACTGAAAAATAAAAGAAACCAAAATCACCCATTTAAACAGTAATAAATCATGCAGTCTTGGAAAATAAAAATAAAAAATAAAAAAAGAATTCCAATGTAAGAAGTTATCATATCATAATCACCCAAAACTCTCATTTCTGCAACTGCCCTGGCCACTGCTACATCAAATTTCTCCCTAAAGTCGGAATGCTGTCCCAAATTCTGTCCTATAACAACAGTTGGACTACGCATATTAGCCATGAGAAGATAAAGCTGAGCAATGCACTCGATTTTTTTTTTCCTTTTACAAAAATATTCACTTTCAAATAATGAAACAACCCATATAAGGAGTGTTAAACAATACCTCTGCTCTTTCTCTCACAACCTGAACATTGGACAGCCCAGTAAGACTCACTATGTGCTCCAAGAAAAGACATCGCTTGTTCATAGACTCCACCAATGTTACCTCCCAACCTACACATTTTTCGATATGATATATATATATATATAAAATTGGAATTCACAAGTAAATTTACGAAAACTAAAAACCAAGATAGAAACTATATATAAATCATAGTGCAAATATGTGAACACGTAAAGTGAAGTGAGGTAGTCAACCTGGACAAGCAATAGCTAAAACTAAACCAGGAAGCCCGGCGCCACTTCCAACGTCAACAATTCTGAGGCTATCAAATGAATTGTTACAGCTTAAGGTATAAGAGTTTTGTATAGGAGGAATAATTGCAAGGGAATCTTCAACGTGCCTTTCCATTACTTCATTAACTTCTTTGACAGCCGTAAGATTCATTTTCTAAAAAGAAAAGAACAAACCGATCAAAGAGAAAGCAACAAAAAATTTTAAAACTTTTGATAGTTTTGCACCGCGGTACCTGGTTCCATTGGAGTAAAGCGTCAACGTAGAGAAGAATCTGATCCTTTTGGCGGGAAGTTAAGGTTTCAAAATCACACGAGGTGCGAATTTTGTCGGTGCCGTCGGTGGATAGAGATTTAACGTTGAGTCTTTGAGGAAGAAATAAGGTTTTGGGTTTGGAAAGTGGAAAGTGTTTGACAAAAGTTCCCAAAGAGGATGGTAAATGTACGTTGAGGATTTTGCAACGGAAAATTAACATTTTGTTTTAGCGCGGGCGCTCCCTTGAGTACCGTCTACTGTCAACGGTCTACACTATGTCTCACTCACCTTTGGTATTGCAAACATGAGAGGAAGCGAGGAGCTAGTTATAACGTTTTTTTGCCCTTCAACCATATTACAAACTATGTACTTAATTTGTCTTTTTTTTTTAATTTTTAATTTTAGCTTTTTAATTTTATATTTATCATTAATAAATATGAACAAAATGTTTTCTAAAATATTTTTCCCATTGTTTTTAAATTTTTGAATAAAGTAGTTTTTAGGTATACATATATTTGATAAAATTTTAATTAATTAAAATATTTGAAACAATATAACAATCAACTTTTAAAAAATCATAAGTTTATTGAAAGAAAGATAACTAGACAAGAAAAAAGTGCATGGATACGCATGGGCCCATGTGACTGGGCTTATCCAACAAACCTCAGTTTATCGGTGCAAGTACAAAACAAAGAAACTAAGAGGTCCAACGTGCACCCTTGTATTCGCCGTAGGCCTTGGACATTTAGCCTACTACTGAAAAACTAAAACGTCAGTGATGGTGGGCCGGTGGCCCTCTTTCTTTAGTTTTTTTTTTTTTTAATTTTTTTTAAGCACAAGAAGAAAGGATGCACTATGTGCTTTGATTCATTGCTAGTATAAGCATTATCACAGGTTACACTTTAGAATGTAAGATTCTTTTATTTTAGGTCCCTTTTTTTTTCCAAGTGATAGTTAGAGATAACTTTTTTTATTCGATAAATCTTATCTCGCTCATTCCAAAATTCAAACTCGAAGGTTTAAAAAATATATAATCTCAAACTCGAATCGCATATATATCCTCTTTGAACAACTTAATGTGGGTATATGCACAAGGGAAAAATGTTTATCTAATTTCTACCTAAATCAACTTTATTTTTTTTTTCTAAATTAGATAATCAAACATAAAACTTCTTGTACCCTTTAGACTATTGGTTTGGATATTGATTTGGTTTGATGAAAAAAGAGTTTGAAAGAGTTGGGTTTTGGCATAAAGTATCGAGTTAATAGTTTCTTGGGTTTTATTTTACATAGGTTGAACAAGTTGGGTGTTAATTTTGTTAGAGAAAGTATTTGGATGTAACAAATAAATAGCTTATTGAAAGATAAATTAGTGTATTTAAAGTTGGTCGAAATTCGAATTGATTCATATAATCATTTTTCGTTTTAAATTGACATCTAAACATATTTGGTTATGTGTACTTTGTAAACCTATCAACTAAAATGTTTACAAAGCACACTAAGATTAAGTAGTAGAAAAGAAAATGTTAGCCTTAATTGATCCTTATTATGAAATGATAAAATATTAAGTTAAATAAGTTAGATTAAGATTTTGAAAAAGATTTATTTAATACATGTTCTTAAGTTTTATTATTTTTAGTACTAAATAAATAATGTGTTTTTCAAAGTGTAAACAATTTTTTTTTTGTTTTCATATTTTTTAAACTAAATCTATCTTTAAAGATTATTTATTTGATCTTAAATGATAGTCTAATTATTGTTTTTAAAGTAAACTTATTCATTTGAGACTCAATACAATTTTGATAATATTGGTTTTGAGAAATAGATTAACTTAATAAAGTTATTTTATAAAAACAAAATTTTTCAACATTGAATTTGTTTTATTTTTCTATATTAATTCACAAAGTTTTAATATTTTAATTTTATATGGTTGGAAAGCTCTTTGAATCTACTTTCTAATGGATCAAACAAAATCTAAATCTAAATTTTTTAAGAAAAGATTTTAAATTTTTATTAAATACTATGCAATTGTCTAAAAACTACATAAGGATAGTTTTGAAAATTTATTATAAATCGTATACAATGAATTAGAAGATGAATTCTATATGAATAGAAAGCACTTTAAGTCTAGTTTCTAAATTTTCAAACAATTTTTTTATTTGAAATTGTATAACTTAAGATATGATCAAATTAGTTAGTAGAGTACAAAATAAGAGACAATCAACAAACACTGCTCATCCAAATCTAAAACTCAACTTGATTTGATTGATCCCCTTAGTTGTAAGAGTTAAAATTTGAGTAAACTTCAAGAATCAATCAATTCCTTAATGCATGGGATTGATCCCCCATCAAAACCAATCGATCCCCTATGCCCAAAACTACTACAATGGCTAGTTTCAATGGAGAAAATCATGTATTTTCATTTCCTAAGCTTATCTAATAGCTAATTCCTCAATTCCTCTATAAATTGGGCATTCAAACACACACAAAAAGTTTATTAATGATGAGAGCAAGATCAAACAGGTCATATTTTCATTCTCTTAAAAAAATCAAGAGTTTTAGAGTTTAAATTCAATATTTTTTATATTTTTTGTATCCAAAATATTGTTGTGTTTCATTCATCATTTTCTTTGTACTTCATTACGTAAACATTCAACCTTTAGAGGTATGTTAGTTTATAAAAATCATTTGGGTTATCTTGTAAAAAAGATGTGAGGTATTTTCTTGATTTTGTAAGGGTAGAGATTTTTATCTTAAACCTTAAGAAGAAAAAGATAAGGTCGTATTCTCAATTTTTGTTTAGTAGATTAAAGCCTTGGTTTGGACAACCAAGAGAGAAGATGTAGATGTCTTGAAGAAAAGAACCAAATTTTTATAAATTCTTATGTTTGATTCTTAATCTCTATCTCTTTACTTTGCATTCAATGTTATAGCTTATATTTGCTTTAAGATTGTCAATTTATCGTTATTCGTATCATATTTTGATATTGATTTTAATTTCACATTTAATTACTTTGAAATAATTGTTTAAGATAGAATTTGAAGAGATCCAATTCACTCCCCTATTGGATCACCATCTCACATAAAACACTAACAACTGGTATAAGGGCTTTGGTCTTTTTTTGTAGTTTAATCACCTTGAGTAAAGATCTTATTGCTCAATTTAGGTTCCAAGATGGTGAGAAAGTCCTCAAAGCTCTAATGTTCGATAAATATGAGTTTTGTGAATGGAGAATAAAAATGAAGGTGTTCATAATAGCCCAAAATTTTAAAACTTGGAATATGGTTAAAAAAGAGCTTGAAACTTTTTCCAAAGATGCAAACCACATGAAGCAAATAATAGATGATGTAGTTGTCAAGTGCATTCTCTATGGAGCTTTAGATGCTTACTATTGCAACTTAGTCTCAAATTGTTTCACTTCAAATGAGATATAGAAGAAGTTGGAGGAAATACATAAAAGGCAAATCTCTAACTAAAATGCATCATGTCTTATGGCCTTTGAAGAACTGGAGATAACCTCTAATTTTATTGATTCAAATTCATTACTTTTGATGAATTGTAAGAGGCTTACAATGAGTTGTATGATGAATGTGAATCAATGATAAAGAATTATAACAAAATGATTTCAAAATTGAATGTAGAGAATAAGTTTTTGATGAATGCAAAAAATGTTTTAAAAAAAAATGAAAAGGTGAAAATAGATTTAAGTGCTGAAATATTTTTGATTCGAAAGAGAAATTTGATGTTTTGATTAATGAAAAAAAAAAGCTTTTAGACAAGAATTTAAGTACTAAAATGATTAAATGTAATTTTTGTAATTTTTATAGTCATACTATACATATTTGTCTTATAAAGAGAAAAGTTTTATTTAAAATTAGACAAATATGGGTTTCAAAAGGAACAAAAGATATTGTGACTAACTTTCAATGACCCAAAGTAATTTGGATATCAAAAATCAAATGAGCATTGTCTCTTGTAGGTGTGCTAGATCAAGAAGCTACATTGTGATTTTGAAGAATAAAGCTCTAGACACACAATAGAGATAAGTAACATTTAAACTTTTATTGGAAGAGAATATGAATTTGGATATCCATTCTTGATGAAATTTGAACGCTTGATTGTTAAGCAAAATTTGATTGAAATTAATTACAAGACATATGTTGCATAATCTTGAGAAAATGTAAGCTTGAATTGAATATGCATTTATTTTTGCTCTTAAGTATGTTTGAGATGCTTAATGATATTAATTGTGGTGTTAAATTGCTTCAGCATAATTTGTTGATGAATTTCTTATTGATGCTTGGTGTGATTATTTATGTGCTTAATTATTTTCATATTTATGCACAAACTTAAAGGAGCATACAAAGCTTAACGATTTTAAATATTTAAGTTTTGCTTTGAAAATTATTTTTACAAAAGTCAAGCTTTTGAAAATATAAAATTTCGTTTTAGCAAGTTTTTAGGTGCAAAATGATTTTGAATATTTTGTGTTCAATGATTTAAACTTACTCAAACAAATAAACTTTATTAACTTGCAAAGTTTTTAATTTTTGAAGTGTTAGGTGCAAGTTATAAAGGATTGTGGAGCTAAAATGATCCAATCTTATTTTTGAACATTTATGGGCATAAAAACCATTTAGACATTTTCAAATTGTGATATTGAACTTTGCTAAATGGTTTGATGAGCTTAAATATGAGTTTAAATACATTTGCCCATTTTAGTAGCTTTTAAAGGATATATGGGATTTAAAAGTTGACTTTTTGATTTTCTTGTTTCTAAGGCAAAACGATCACTTGAACAACTTTGTTTTGTCATTTGAAATTTGTTGGAATGGTTCAAATTGGTTAAAAATGAGCTTGACAAGTTTTTAGATATTATAAAGTCTTTTTTAAGCAAAAATGAGTCTTAAGGTGTCAAAAATCAAAATCTTAAAAATACTAAGCTTTGAATGGTTTACCCTTTTTTTTTTTTTGCATATATAAATTTGTTTTAAATAAGTTTAGTGCTACAAAAATGATCTTTATGGTTTTAATGCATTTTGTGTGGTATATACTGATGGTTGAAATGTATAAGGCCTAATAAGCTTGCTTGAGAAATTTGTTCATATTGCACATGTTTTATGACTTGAACAAGTGTTCTTATATATGAAAAATATTTACAAACTTATGTCAATGTTATTTGCATAAAAGTCACAAAGGTTTGATGTTTTCAAAAGTGTTTCTAGCACTATTCATGCATATATGGGGTTTGGACCATTGAAATTTTAGAATACATATATTTGTTGAATATTTGTACTTTTATCATATTTATTTGATCATTTCAAACTTGTTTGAAATGGTTTCAATGCTTAAACTTTGTCCAAACA